TCTACATTTCACCCTTACGGGTGCTTGTGTAAGCAAATGCTTGATGGAAGCATCACGGAAATTTGCGTTTCAACTGTTTTTGTTTCGATCAATATTCGGCTGCGCATGCTTGAATCGATGTACCTGGTGTGAGATTACTCAGAAGAATTCCTTCCTTTATGCAAGATACGTTATTATCCCTTGCCGTTACGTCTGCTAAAGTACAACCGATTATTGAAGGTAATAACAATGTTAAGAGAAAAAGCGGTATTTTCATGTTTGTTTTCGAGAAGTTATTTATTATTACGTCCACCTTTTCGGCGTATGTTAATCTTTCCTTGCTTTCCGCGGTGGTTGTATTCTTCGAATGTGTTCTTCCGATGGTGAGGTTCGAGCTGACTGCATCGGAATATGATTCATCGTTTGGAAGTTTTAGCAGAATGAGCATGTTGATCGGTCGGCGCAAGATGTTTCCTTTTGCGTTACGAACATCCGCTGATCGGATAACTTGATCCTCGCCGGTATGTACATTAGTTACGATTCCCATGTTCCACGTTGTTCGAGGACTATTTTCATCCATTAAAAGTACTGCTTCTCCTTGGTGCGAGTTCATTTTCGCTGATCGTTTGGCGACTTGCTCTTAGATTGTGAAGACTATCGAGATATGTTTGCGACCAGACTTCTCAGAATTTTTTGAGTAGTTTTTGTGTTTCTTTTAACAACTGTATTGCTTCGTTTTTCGACGATAACAGTCTGAAGCTTGGGTCGTAGTCAGGTTCAAAGTTTCACGGGGTGATATGAGCATTAGGCCCCGGACAGACTTCACGCTCGCGACGATCAAATCGCGTGAAGTCTGTCCGGGGCCTTAGGTTGCAGAAAATCCACTGTGCGAATGGGATCATAATCATAGAAGTCTGGTGTGACATATGTCTTTGCACTCTGCACAAACTGTACAGAATTCATTGTCTGATAGAAACTTATGCTTAATAGTTTTACGTAGACATGTCTTTACATTTTCGATCACCTTTCGTAAAAACCTCCCTTCCATAATGATAAAGGTGTGATAAGTTTCCGAGATATTCCGTTTGTAATAAGAAAATCATTTATTTTAGTTGAAATCATATCTTCTTTCAATAATTGTTCGATGACGTCATGCCCTAGCTTGAAAGTCGTAGTGTTGTCTGATATTACGTACCGTGGAGTGCCTCTCCGAGCTATAAACCTTCTCAAGGCTTGTGTAAAATCCAAAGCTGAGAGTCCGTCAACTGTTTCTAGGTGCATAGCTCTTGTAGTCATACATGTTAAAAGACAAATCCATTTCTTTTCGTGTACGTTATTCAGAATTTTAACACGTTGACGACGGTGTCGCGCAATGGTGCGCGACAGGCAGTCTGTCCCTGTGGACGATGTCGCGCAATGGTGCGCGACACCCTAAACATCAGTTTTAGTGTGCATAATGGTTCCAATTTGTGTTCATATAATCAAGTTAGGCTCGAAAGTATTTCATGTTGGCCCCGCCCCTTTCTGGCAAACTCCGCCCACTCGATTGCCCTCTACAAAAAACTTTCTTCGTTCTCAAATCGCATAGAAAAGCTCATGGATGACAGGGGAACCTCAAATAATCTTGATTTTGACCCTGCCCCCCGTAATGCAGGCTCCACCCCCTCGGTGGCAAGCTCCGCCCACTTTTCAAAAATGCCGGAATTTGCACGAATTCATTGATTTTGAGCAATTTCCGGCATTTTTGAGAAGTGGGCGGGGCTTGCCAAAAGTGGACGGAGCTGTCCCGCCCATTTGAATTTGTGTATCTCACGCATAGATGCATGCATATATATATGTGCAGCCGGCTGTGAAAATGCCTGGAAACGGTTTGTCCACAGGGACAGACCTTAAAAAAATGGCTCGTCGTCAACGTGTTAACTGTGAATGGAGCATAATCTATACGTACGTTTTTAAAGGGGTACGATTGCCTTCAGAACTACCTTCAGTTTCTACCTTCAGAACTCTTTCTGAAGGTAGAACTGGAGGTTCCGGGTACTCAAATAACCGCCGGGGGCAGGCGGCCATGCGAATTTTGAGCAAGCGCGAACCGGAAAAATAGTTCGTTGATTTTTTGCGGCACGCTTGCAGAAATTTGGAAGAAAGTTGGCGAAATTGAGGACGAATGCTTGAAGAACAATCGCGGTTTCTTTATGGATTAGTTGCGGCGCAGTGGCCGCATTCTCGCGGACTTTCTGCGAGAATATGCAAAAATTTCGAGGGCCGCACGGTCCTTTGTGGAGGACCGCGCAACCCCCAGGTACTTTCCGCTGAGAGAAAGTACCTCAAACTTGAGTAATTAAACCAACGGTGACACCTCTGCCACACAGAGTCTTACCTGCGCTCGACGTACGCCCGAAAATGCCTAAAAAGAGTCCGAGCGCTTGCTGAAAGTTTGGCCAGCGCTCGCTGAAAGAAATTATTTGCCGAGCGCTTGCAAAAAATGCTGTATTGCTGCCCGCTGGCAGAATATGCGACCTTAAAGGAAGTGCCGCCCGCTGAAGGTTTGGCCACGCCCCAAAATTTTGCTGACCGCCTGCAGAAAAGCGCGAGTTTGCGGACCGCCTGCCCCCGGTGATTATCTGAGTACCTGTAGGGTAACCCGTGCATCTTTTTGCAAGTGATACAAATGCGAAGAACTTTTTTGACTACTTGTTGACCTTGCGGTATCCAGTATTGTTGATGAATCGCCGCCAGAGTTGAATTAACTCCTTGATGCCTATTTTCTTGCGATAATATACCATAAGCGCTGTTGCGATTTGGTGATATGGCAAAATAAGTATAGAATTAGTTGCTTATCATATATCTAACAAAACTTTACGGCAGAAAAATGCGGTGAGTCAAAGGCAAATATATTTGGCCTCCCCTTTTCGAACCGGTTCCTTCTTCGCTTTGTTCTCCGGGCCGCTCCCGGTACTGAAAATACTCTCGGCACTCCTCCAAAAGCAGATGCGAGTGTCAAACGACCCCTCGGCTGGAATCTGGGGTCCAGCAACCCTTCGAAACATTGACGATTCGAACTAACGAATGAAGGAGACTTGCAGTATAGATTGTGGTGATCAGTTGGGCCGGCCGATGCACCATGTTCACATCCTCACAATCATTTATTTTCTAAATATTCATAGCAACATATCAACTAACAAAGTCTAATATGCAAACAAGCACAATTCAAAGAGGCTTAAGCAAAGCCCCGAAAAGTCCCTTGACGCTCCATGAAGTAATGGCTTTTATAAGAACTGTGGCCCCACCCCTTCTTTATCTTCTTGCGACAGAGGGTTAACTCTTAGCATATTAGACAGAATGTATCCCTCAAATAAACTGCTCTGATACTCGACATTGGACCATTTGAGCAAATATAAGTGATTTTATTTCAGTTACGCATTCAATTTTTTGACCCGCAAAACGCTCTAACTCGGCGTGCAGAGGCGCTTGGCAGATATTGAAGGCAGACTTGGCAACACTGAGCAAAGCTCTCCAAAAGTTGTGGGTCTCATCTAAAAAGGCCACTTCGACTATGCACGCTTCTCTTGTAAGTACTGTAGGTTGAAGAAGAGGAAAAATAGCTGAGAAACGTAAGCCGAAGAAGTTTATACGGATGGTTCCTTTATGTCCTAGCACTGAGCAATTGCCCTGAGCTATATGTTAAGATCTCCTCAACTTTATAACCGAAAAGAAAAGGTAATAAACTTTGGTCTTTGCGTTTACGTCGTGAACAAATGAATTCTATATTGGAAAACTGATTTTCAAGAACTAGCGCTTTGAGCAAGATCGTTTGCACGTCTGTAGTGTAATAGGCATTTGTAATTTGTCAGCATCACCGCCGGAGTTTGCCGAACTTCGCGTCACAGCGCCAAGCCCCAGTGGTCAACGACTTACAGTGCCTACATTGACTTGCAAAATAGTCATCAAGTGACTTACTATTGGTTCCAAAGCCGCATCACTCGGCAAATGTTCTTTACACATAAGTTTTCCATTCTTCCAAACATCGAGAATCCGTTCAATCAAAGTGGTCTTTTCGATTGAGTTCTATACGTTTCAAAGAGTATTGAACGCTGACTCCAAATCTGTATCATCCACCAAGCGCCCCTCTATAATACGCCTAGTCATGTGTTTTTGGAGCAGAAAAAATGACCGCAGAATCCAGGTAAAATCAATCGTCATGGTCTTTTCAGCGCTCAGATAAAGCATGTTGATTATGAGTGAATAAAACAAAAGTCAAAAGTCACTTATTAAATGAAGTGCTTGACAATTAATACCGACCATATGAGCAATTCAGGACAAATTTTGTTCAATTTGAGCACTCAATTTTCAGTCCCAGAAACAATCATACTTCAGGGTCCGGAACGTTCGGCAGATAATGATGACGAATGACTTGTAACACTCTTTCATTGGTATTCGAAGTGGTGTAAAAGTGGCATAAAAAGGCCACTTCCATTGGACGGAGAGTCCCTTGTAAGAGAGTCAGTAATCGCATGGTAAGTGATCCTGCTCCGGCAGCATCACTGCTTTTGCGCAAAAACCTTTTCAATGTGTTTTACCTTGACAAGTTGTAAAGAGAAGGGGGAGGGTCTAATGATTAGACCCAGTATGGCCTCATCGTTGAGAAACACGGCTCTAAGTTCAAGATAATCCAGATGGCGCAAAACAACAACAACAAGAACAGAACGCTATCTACAACACGGGGTTCAGCCCGATTTGCCTCCTCAGCAGGGTTCTCTAGCTCTTCTCTAGGAAGCCTGACAGAGTCTACATACAACTCAGTAATTAAGTCAGTCAATATCGCATTATGTCAGCCAATCGCACTCGTTCTGCACTATAAAAGGGCATCCTCTTTCTCAATCGAAGTTAGGGTAATATGTTGTAATATGCGAACACAATCTTTCCCAGCTCAGACTACAAGGCTACGAGATCATGCATGAACCTTTACTCATTTACTACCGCCTTTTGACCCCTCGCATAGTACAAATAAACATGAAACTTACGTATACGATGACCAAGAATCTAAGAAGGCCAGACTTCTTGAGGATTGCCCCAATCATGCCCAGCGCTCCAGCAACAATCTGAAAGCACAAATGGCAACAAGATCTGTCTTCTTTGCTCATGTTTGTTCAAGCTTGACCTTACTTTTACAAGACCTCAAAGAACTGAGTTGAAGCTAGTGTCCGCGCAAGATGTGGGTTTTGGAATTTCAGTGCCGTGCGAGAGTGGCCCCCCTTAGACACAACATCGCGCAAGTGCGACGTCATCACCCTCGACCTAAAGCAAGAAAAACGACCGGAAAGTGAGGCTTACGCCTTGGGACGGGATCCTCCGAAGTGTCCGAATTCCTGCTATGTGGCAGAGTACGCATGCCGCCACAGATAAAATGTAGGGTCCCGCAGTGATTCTGGTCCCGCAGTGGAGTCTCTGCCTTTGTGGGGACCGTCGATTTCAAATTGTGCGGCTTTGCAAAACGTGTGTTCTCGCCGTTATCAAGCCTTCTAATGTGGATTTTCGGATTCAGTGTTGCGGATAACCCCTTCCCACCCCGTAAGTGAATTTTCTAGAAATCGAGTTTTTGCCCGGACACTGCCTTTGAAGCATTGTAGTTTCACGTCTACTCAAACTCATAATGTCGGGGCTAAAAGGTGCTAGGATATCGCGGCTTCACAGCGCGAGCTGCAAGCGTTACAGTTTCCCAAGTAGTTTTATCTTCTTGATGGATCTATTTCAGAAATGCAAGAAGGCAACGCCGAACATCAACATCAAGAAGATGTCAACGCTAAGCTTGACACATGCCATCTAACTCCGAGCCTTCATGGTGAGAGGAATTGTTCAACTTCGTTTTCCCCTCTTGTTTCCACTCATGCAAAAGTGTTATCCTTATTGAGCGCCTTTTTGGAAGAGCACTTTCGAACATCGTTTTGAGACCAAGTTTCAAACACATCAGCACTTTATAAAGTTGGCCAAAAAGGCGGAAAAAAGACAGACTAGGCAAAATAGTCAAGGAAATCAATGGCACTAGTCTCTATGTTGATGTGATCACAGTTTTGATTGATGTTATCGTATTTGTTGTTTTCAAACCCAGACGAGAGTTTTGATTACCCAGTTTGAGGGGGTGATGGTGGTAGGATAAACGGCGCGTGTATCTGGTGTTGCTCAACAGCGAAATCCCATTGCACATTGAATAGGATACAGTTCGTAGTTTCGGGAAAAACCGCTGCGGGCGCTGAAGTTAGGCGACAGGCCACTAGGATTTGCCAAAATTCGCCCCATGCCATAATTCGGTTCAAAGTCAATAAATTCTGCGTCCAAGAGTACTATTAAACACGGTCCGCCGAGGCGCATCTTCTCTCATATGCGTCAAGTTTGTCGGGATACATTAGTATAAGATTGGCAGTCAGTTTTCACGAAATATTCTAGAGTTTTGCTCAAAAGGGAAGGATTCCAACTTGCTTATCAATCTGGAATGAAATGCATATCATTAAATATATCTATGAGCTGTTTTCTCACCTTTCTTACTTGCTGAGCGAATCCTGGAAGAATTTATGAGCGTTTGAAGATGCGAGGCTACTGAGGCCAGTGCATAATGTAACACGGATCCAGCTGGGGAGGGTGCATTGAATTGGACTCAAGTGTTCAGACAGCGAGGAAGAATTGCATTCATCAGAAACGTTTCAAAAATGTCTTTGAACCGCTAATCATTGAGAGTATGACACTGAATTTCAGCCAAATCCAGATTCAACCCCTCACACTTCTTCTAGAGAATCGCTCGGCAGATATGAAAATACCTATTTGCTCATCAATACCTATCTAACTAGTGATATGCATTTCTCCAGATTGCCACCACCGTGAGGGCCTTCTGGTTAGATAGATTACTCGATTTGCTAATGACAACATACTGGCCTGGTGTTGATGGAATGTTGTAAATGTAGTGTAGGATTGGGGTAAAAGTCGGGTTTGGATCTGTTCTAGACTCTGCTCAGAGTGGTTTTTTGATGCAATGCCTGCAGTTACATTTATTTGCTTGGCACGTGCAAAGGTATGTCGGCGTACGGAGGTCAGTTTACTCCCATGGTCTACAACATTGCTTAGGGCTTTCTTACCCAAAGGATAAAAGATTTTTATCATAATATCACGCTGCAAGAGTGCAGCTGACTTTGATACTCAGTACTTTTACTTTTACTTTCCGCTTGTAACGTGACTAATGATAGTGTAGCTCATCGCACATTGTACTTGAAGTGCTTTAGTAAGCATCTTTGAGTTATGTCCACTAATTAGCCCGAAAAGACATCTAGAGGTATTTCTAATTGAGAGAGACCACCGAGTTTTGGACATTAAGACACCATTTTATCTATCATTTAATCTCGAAAAGCTCATGGTAGTTTTGAAAAACGGAAGGATTGGTGTTGTGATCGGCAAACCATATTGTTTACTTGCTTGGAGTTTCAGGTTGACCTGAGGATTTCAATCATGTTATGCGATGTGTTTAGAAGGGCTACTCAATTCTCACTGCGACAGTGTTCATAGACGTCGTTCGATAAAGCACCTCACCATTTAATAAAGTACTCAGACACTGAGAGCGGACGAGCCGCGGCCCTTTTCCGGCTGGAATTTCGCAGCCTTGCGGCCCGGCCGGAGATTGGGCCTCGGCTCAGCCGCAGCTGGCTGTCGGGCCGTCCGTAGTTTATTCTAACTCGGCCTAATTGGGGCTGCGCAACATGGCACACAAGAAAATACACAGTAAAAAAGCAAAAACTGAAGCCACCAATCTAGAAGCTTTGGAAACCAGTCGACTTCAAATTGGATAACGCCAAGACGCTAACGAAGGTTGTTCGTAAAACAACATATGATCTTGTCTTACCTTGGAGAACATCCAAGGCATTGAGGGCTACCTGACCATGCGTCGTACATCACGCAAGAGTCCTTTAAGCTCAGACACTAGAAGCGGCCCAGCGCCTTTATTTGACATAGGCCGCAGCTCGGCCGGAGTTTCTTACAAAAATTTTGGTCCGCGGTTCAGCCGCTGCAATGCTCGCCCCATCATTAAGAGCTACGGCTGAGCTGGTGAGCCCATTTTCTCCCGTGGCTCGGCCGGTGCAATGATAATGACATGAACTAAGAGCCGCGGGTCGGCCGCACCCCGACCATGCCCCCAGATTAAGGCCGCGGCCAGTGTCTGAGCATTTCGCCAGTGAAAATGAGAGATCCGTAGGGTGTTTTAATGAGATTTTTTTCGATTTTTCGAACGTCCGAAACTTTCTAAATCTCCGCTTTTTACTTAAGCTGTTGTTGATCAAAGCTTTTGCGATTATTCACAAACCATTTTGTAAAGCTCACTTTTCTTTATCAAATATTGAAAATACTTATCTAACGACCCAATATGACACCGTGCTAAGTAATGGTAAAAGTTCGTGGGCGTGTTGTTGCGGTGAAAGAATGAAGCCACTGACACTGTGGCGCTAAACAAATGAAACATTGATGCTTAGGTAGCGGAATTTCCCTGCATTTGAGCTGTTAAGTTTGTACCAAGTCATGAATTAGGTTGGCGGACAATTACGGTTAGGCTTTTTTGTAGCATTTCAAAAAAAAATCCGAGATTCTCAAGTTTGCTCCATATTTAGGGTACGACATGGCGTACAAAAGACATGACTAATGCCGGAATGCACAAATAGCTAGCATATTTACTAAAACTTCGCAAGCATATTTCTTTGATTTTTTTCCGCCGTGTGTTTGTTCCTTCCTATAATTGCTCAGAACATATTTTCGCACGTATCTTTTATGGCAGCAATTTAATGCCGCTAGCATGGCAAAAAACGGGAGGTAAAAATAAATCAAAAGAATCAAAAATTGGCCAAAAAATTCTCTTTTTGCGTACATCGTGTAGGATTAGATACGGAAAAAGAGAAAATAATTTTTGTGATTCTGCACGGGGAGTAGTTGCACCCGTCAGCACTCTTTGAGCATGAGAACTTTCGGAAGCTTTTCAGATTTTTAAGAAATGAAAATGAAAGTATCCGCCAACCAAATATTATAAGAGCACTTCAATATCAATCTCAATTCATCTTCTTTTTCAATCTTCAATCTCAATTCATTTCAATGATACCTGCGTGACACGCAAACATCATTTTTCGAACAGTAAAGACGAAGTATACGTTAGCAATCATCTCCCTGCCTAATTTACGCGTCTCAATGTCTCTGTAGAAGATTTCGTAAAATTATATTTCTTTGACAGTGAAACTTTCGAAACTGACAATCACAGCCGGATAGATCAGGTTCCAGTTGAGTTCCATGTAGGCGACATTCCACATAATAATGATGGAACAAAAGATCAACAAGCAAAACTGAAAAATGTAATATAGTGTAACTGAAAGCCTTCTTGTAATTAGTGGTTTGCTGTCTAACACTTGAATCTCTCGAAAGTTGCAGTTGAAGAATCAAACAGTGTGAGTCCTGATAATTTGAAACGTTTTGGTTATATAGGCTGTGTTCATACTGATCCCGAAATTCGGGAACAGTTCCAGCACAGCGCTCGAACTGAGCGTTGTGCTGGAACTGTTCCCGGACTTCGGGATCAGTTTGAACGCAGCCATAGTGCGAAGCATTATTTTGCAAATTCAAATCGCTTGTACCCTGGAACATGTATTTTTTATTTGGGATCATGATGCCTGCTTCAAAGCTTCTGCGACACGTTAAGCTTACTACTCAAAACAAACAGGACCTTCTGTTCTCTTCTTTTTTTATAAATTACAGGCTAATCATTTAGCTCTCAGTAAGCGATTTTAGGATTATTATCCGTACATTAGTACAATCGAGCCAGTAAACAGGTCAACGTTCCGGCGGAAGGCGCCTTTGTCAAGACCCGAAAAGCGAATCAACAAATTTGAACGCTGCGCGGGTAGACATGCCTTCAATGATGTACTCCGGCGATGATACATTAAGCGATTGTCCACTAAAAAATGTGAATTGTACCAAAAGCGAACTAGTTTTTTCACAGTTTGCCAGATCTACCCACACCTTTATCAAGTACAACCCTAGTAACTTTTATGTTTGTCAATATCAAGCAAGAAAGACAAGCTTTTTTAGGATTGCACTATCACCGTTGATAGTGCTCTCCGCAAATGTGACGCTGCTATTTTGATCTAAAGAATATTATGCATGCATCTCTAGCAGATTCAAGTTATAGAGAAAATGCGGCCTGTATCTCATAGTGCTTTGCGTAATATCAGATTTTCAATTATAGCAGCAAGTAACATAAACCACAATCACTATTACCTAACGAGAATGCTGTTTCTGCTGGTTCTTAGTAAGCGTTTCCAAAATTGTTATCAGTTTATTAGTAAAATCGAGCCAGTAAACAGGTTGACGTTGTCGCCTTTGTCAGCACCTGGCGACACTCCAAGGGTAGACGTACATTCGATGATACACTTCAGGGGCTGTCTGCCAATCTCATACACTATATGAACACTTGTGATAGAATGAGCTTTCCTTTTGAGGTGAGACTCAAATCCATATTGATAAGTGTGGCGAGCTCGCTACTGATAGCCATTTCTCCGTCCTGTTCAGTTGACATTTGAACGTGAACTAACAAGCTTCTACGTTTTTTCGTGCTGCAGTGTCGATTTCTTTGGAAAGAATATTGTCAATTTGCAGTTCCATGTTCTGATGGCACGAGACACGATTTCTGCCCAGGGGACACTCGCGATTGTTGCATTCCGTCCAAATGCTTGTTTATTCGTATGCACAACGGCCTTCCTGAAACTTCAGTATATTGTTCACACAATTCACAAGATATTGTGTGGACAACGTCACGACACAAGCAGTATCCTGGGCCGGTAGTGATTCCCCCAACCTGGCGACATGTTTCGCCGTCAGGTCGCCGTCAACTTTATGTGCAGTCGGCGGGAACACCGACTTCAAATCTATGCCCTCCAAACCCTTTTCACCACGATCTTCCTGGTCGAGGAGATCATTGTGACCCTAGAGAATCTCACTTGGCAACTGGAGATTCTAAAAACCTCCCTAAATAAAATTATTGAGGTAGGAAGTGCTAGCGGCAACTTCGCGAGCTGACCTGACGTCATCTCGTCGAAATTTTAGCGCTGAGGGATGCCGCCAGGTCAGAGAGCACGAGAAATAGCGTGCTCATTTGAAAGATCAAGGTGCCACCACCCCGACGTGCCCCTACCACGTCGAGGTGCAGCATCTTGCTGGCGGCGTCTGTGAAATTGCGTTGCGAGCAATATCACACAACTTACTTCCAGCAAAAGAATCAAAAAAATTTACTTTTTACCGAAAAGCTATCACTTTTGTCATTATATGGGTTTTTTTTCTCCAAAGTGATGAAATGCATGTACAAGAAACATCTAGTGATATTGTGAAACTATAAAGAACGCAATTTTCATTTTTCAATTGCTAAAAATCTCATTTGCAACGATTTCGTCTCTCGCTCGCTCTTAAATCAGCTGTTTTTTCAGGTCAGCGTCTATCGCTCAATGTATTGATCATGCTCTCATGAAGGGGGCACTTAAGTACCGTTTCTATATTGCTGCCGCAGACAACACAAATTGAACAAGTGATCGAATGGTTAGTGCGGCTGCGGCTCAATCAACACCTCACAACATGGAGTTTAAGGTCAATGCATCTGGAGTTTCAAATTAAAATAGCTATTTTTTCCAAAAAGCCCACACCGCAGGAAAAACCACAGAGGCTTGCTGGATCATGCGATCGCGTTCAAATGTCCTAAACTGAACATTAAGAAGAAATGGCTATCAATAGTGAGTGTCGCCGCAAACCTATCAATGTGGATTGAGTCTCACCTTAAAAGGAAAACTCATCCCATCGCAAGAGTTAGCATATAGTGTGTGACATTGGCGGACAGCCGTTTGAAGTGTATCATCAAATGTATGCCTACCCTTAAAGCGTCGAATTTACTGATTCATTTCAGGTCTTGACAGAGGCCACTCCCAGCGGAACGTCAACCTGTTTACTGGCTTAATTCTACTAATAAACAAATAACAATTTTGGAAACTCATACACAATAGCTAAGATTGAAGGATAGTTGAGCATGGAAAGTCATCAGGCTGATACTCTAGTGCTTCATTAAGATCTTTTAGCGTGTACTTCCAGCTTCAATATAAGCATTTTTTGCCATCTCTCCCACAAGTTTACTTGCAGATATAGGACTACGTCCTGTCGTACTCAACGCAATCACCAATTCTTGCCTTATTCTGTTAACAAGAGGAGTTATGCGTGTGAGCGTGGCGAGATACTTTCAGAAAGTAGTTCTTTAGTCGGTATTTTCACCCGTCGTAAAGGCCTTCACTCAAACTTCCCAATCTTTATACTTTTGCGATCCCCCTCTCATTAGACTCACGATATTAGTCTACATTTTGCATCACGATCATACGAGACATTCGCAATAAAAAAAGTTTTATTACGTTTGCTTTACGAGATAAAAGCCATCACAAATGCGCAGATGCAGCAGTCTTATTTCTAGTTTATGTGGCCTGCGATAATAAAGAAGGAAGACAATGCGCTAGCTTATTAAAATTAATGCCTGTGTTTGACTTCTTTCTTTCAGTCTACTTGCCTCATCTCTCTTTCAGTCTACTTGCCTCATTCATCATATGCTTGTCCGTCCACCGACGGAGCCACAAATTAAAAATCGATCGTCATCACGCCATCGTGGGTTTGATTGGCAAAGGTTTATATGCGTACACTCAACAATGCAAATCGTGATATTTTTTACTTCCTTGAATAAAACGATGTACATGTTGTGCTTGCTTTCGCGTCTCTGAGTTCTCACTACACAAAACTCGTAGTCAGCGCGATGCCTCCTTCCTCGTAGATCCTCACAATTTCGCGTTGTTTTTTAATGTTTTGAGTCAAAAGGGAAAGACGGTGAAATCTGCAACCTTATTTTATGAGAAACTAGCTGGCTTACCCGGCTCCGCCGTATCCGGACCAAACTTGGCACACATACACTTCGGGCCCCGGCGGGTGTCACAGTCCACTTTTCGTTATCGATCGATGTCGATTTTACCGATTTTTATCGATTTTTTTGCAGAGTTCACCTACAGGGCTAGGAGTTGGCACAGGGGGGGGGGGGGAAGTGAGCATGGGGATTCCGAATACAACATTAGTTTTCAGGAACGTCCATTACTTTTATCGATTTTATCGATTTTTTTGTAAAGTTTGACCTGCGGGGCTGGGAGTTTGCATAGGGGGGTAATCGAGCATGCTGATTACGAACACAATATTAGTTTTCAGGATCGTCCATTACTTTTATCGATTTTATCGATTTTTTTTGTAAAGTTCGACCTGCGAGGCTGGGAGTTTGCACAGGGGGGTAATCGAGCATGCAGATTACGAACACAATATTAGTTTTCAGGATCGTCCATTACTTTTTCGATTTTATCGATTTTTTGAAAATTTGAGCTAGGGGGCTGGAATTTGGCACAGGAGTGTAATCGAGCATGCTGATCACCCCCCTTGGGGGGGTGATCAGCATGCTAAAATCGATAAAAGTAATCGATAATCCTGAAAACCAATATTGTATTCGGATTCCCCATGCTCGATTACCCCCCTGTGCCAACTCCCAACCCCGTAGGTGAACTCAGCAAAAAAATCGATAAAAATCGATAAAATCGATATCGATCGATGACGAAAAGTAGCCTATGACACCCGCCGGGACCCGTAGTGTATGTGTGCCAAGTTTGGTCCGGATCGGTTCAGAAATGGAATTTTCTATTCGGAACATACGTACACACAGACATACAGACAGACAGACATACAGACAGACATACAGACAAACAGACATTCAGCTTTATATATAAGATAGCATCCTCGTTAGGTAATAGTCTGTGGCTTGTGACTTACTATCCGCTGTACCTGGCTTTGCCCGGCTGTTATAGGTTGATTCCAAGATTCTAATCAATTATGGGATCTTACATACATGAAATCTGAGTGGTATATCCAAAATCCTAATCTAGAAATCAGTGGCGTTATTTTCACTGTCTTTCTGCACTTGGAAGCCCTTCAAAGTTTCGCTCTGACAGTTTGTATGGGGATTTTACAAACAGTGAACTGAATATGGCTCCGCACTCTCATGGTGCAATTCCACATTTGAGATGGTCATCAAGAACTGACTTGAAAGCTTAGTAACCAGTCAGCTCTACCGCGTTCTTCTTGTTAACTTAGAATGAGCTTCTCTGCTATTGTTTACACGAAAACGTTCACGGGGTATGATAGCGGTTGATGACTTCACTTTCATTGCAAAGTCCCGAAATCAATAAATCAATGGAAGGATCCAGCGAATCGCTTTAAAATATAGCTTAAAACCATAAACGCAGTCGAAAACATGTATGTGCAAAATTTCAGCTCAATCGGTACCTGCACAAAGAAGCCTATAAAAAACATACGGTCAAGAGTTGCACAAACTTTGACTTTTATATAAATAGACAGGTTAGCTGCTATAAATCTTGGAAAACTGACATTACGCAAAGCACTATTAGATACAGGCGCAACTTTATCTGTCTTTTGAATCTGTGAGAGGTGGATGCATAATAGAGCTCCTTGAGAGCAAAATGGCAGCCTCACATTGCAGAGAGCAAGTATATCGACGGTAAAGTGTGACCCTAGAAAAGCTTTTCTTTCTGTGCTTGATAGCGTCAAACATATAAGTTAGCCTAGGGTGCTACTTGGTAAAAGTGTGGGTAGAGGGCTTACCGAAAACGCAGTGTCGCTTGCACTAGCATCTCCACTCCCGTGCTAAACTCTGCATCTCTTCCGCGAACATGCTCTCTGATCTTTCCCAGGGCGAGCGTGAGAAAGGCGGAGCCTTCGTCGGTTGGAAGTGATTAGAGAGCATGTCGCGGAAAAAACGCAGACTACAGCGCGGGAGTGGAGTTGCTGATGCAAGCGACACTGCGTTTTATAAGCCTTGTACATGAACTAGCAAACTTTGAAAGACTACATTCTTGACGATATACAAATCACATTTTGCAACTGTGTTTTCGCCTCGATGTCCCCTTTACCTGTGGCGCACTTCAAACGGTCGCTGCTTGCAGGTTACTCATGGCATCGAGTCAAGTATCTGCCGCCACCCCCCCCCCCTCTCCCTACTGTGGTACCGTGGCACTTTGCACCGGAGAGTTTTTGTGAAGCACAAAATTTGAGCGCTGCGAGCGGCAGCCGCTCGCGGTGTAACTCTTGACTCGTAGCCACGTTGTATACCAAAACTCCAGTTGTAGTTACAATATGGCCCATAGTAAACCCCCTTCAGGGCATCTCTCTTGAGGCGGACCGGAGCTGATATCATCGCACCTCAGCGCATTGCATGGGAGCGATTGATTTGGAGCAGATCACTAACTGGACGTTCTCGTTTTCAAAGGTTAAACGTTCCTGCCATTTGTGCACTACTAGTCAAATGGATAAGAGTGTTGCGGCAAACGGCAGAGCCGTGGTTCGAGTGCGGCTAGGGGCGCTATTTTTGGTACTTGGCCTGGCGACCTTTGATAACGGCCGCTATCGAAAAATCGATGATAGCAGCTATCAGAGATTTCACCAAGCAAACAACGATATAAAACAGATACACAATAATTTGGCACTTATAGGAAGAAGAACTACACTTAGCGAAAAACGAATAAAAAGATATTTTCACCTTCTTGTTGTCTGGAGCGGTTCTTTGAGAAAAAAAGCAAAAACTGCAAGGAAAACGCAAAAAAAAACATTTTTTCCGAATCCGTCGCGCAATTAGCTGTTCATCGATCCTCACTCACTTAGGCGCCCGAAATTGTGAAGTTTTGGGAGCTTTGCACCGCAAAAGAACGTCAGCTGCGATGTTTCGTAAGTTACTCGGGAGCAACTTACGGAAATTTTTCCTGTGCTCTCCTCTTTAGCACAGTATTTACCTAACGTCGTCGCCCGGCTCATCTCCGATGACTCGGCAGGGAGCTGATCTCCCTACCGGGCTTCATCTGAAGCTCATCTGTCAAGTGACCTTGTATACTTACACCACGGAAAAGTGGGCAGTCCTCAACTCACCCGATAAAGCCTCATATGAGGGCCTCAGGGGAGATCATCTTCCGTGACCGAGCTTTACTACGGGCCTATATGAAGTAGGAGTCTGCCGTATTTGTCATTTAGTGGTGGTAAAACTCAAATGCATTTGTAAGAAAGCTCTATTCTCTTGAGAATATCATGGCAATGATGCTGCGGAACTGCTCCTCTTGAACTGACAATCTCTTTGACCGTCCTGACTTCAATCTCTCTTTCTAGAAAAAAGGGACAAGTATCTGATGTTAAAACGTACCCTTGCAGGGCAACAACAACATGCTATTGGAGCAGTACCCTGAATTGCTCGTACATCAAACTTTCATTGCAATTCTGACCCATCACAAAACAAAACTAACCTTTTCTCTTCTAGTGCTAGTGCCAGTCGTTTCTTTTGATGTGAACGTCTCCCGTGAAACATGTTCCACTGTCCCACCACTTTCAGCTGTGCCACCGTTTGCACTCATGCTAGTGTAAGCTAAGTAAAAATGGTACCCACTTGAGCTCATCAAAGAATGGTGGTTTATTGCGTAAGCTGTTTGTCAGATCTCCGTTTTTGATATCATATCAGAAAGCGATGCTCTTTCTTTCTTCCAACATTGCAACTACGTGCGGACTAAGCTACTCAAATTGGGCTGAGTTGAAAATTTCTCAAAAAAAATTTTCCCAGTTGCAAATCTTTAGAAATACTTATTTTTCGGATATCAAATTTTCGTTTTTTATGAGAGCCAGCTGAAAATGTCAGACTTGGTTTTCAAGGAGCAATCCATTTTGGGGCCGATGTTCATATTTTGGTTTATTCTGATCCGAAAGTTCTTGCGCATTAATTTTTTGAAAAAAATCATAACTTTCTGATAACTGCATGTATTTGCCCGAATTTTTTGAAAAAATGTTGTTTGTAACGTACGCAAAATTAGAAATGCGAGAAAAATATCACTCAATTGAGCAGTTCAAAGATGCTCATCAAAAATTCAGAATCCTAAGAGAATAACGAACAAACACAAAATATACAATATACAGGGTGGGGCAAAAGTCTGGGAGCCTAGTACTTTTTCAGATGAAATCAGAAAGAAATTGCCTAGGAACAAAAAATTCGTTGCACACATAAATCGAACCTTTACAAATACAGCGCTGCTCTCAAATTTTGAGATTGCTTCTTCTGGCTCCAAAGCAGCCCCTCAAAATCTTGGCGAGTCCGCCTGTAGTGACACGCAGGCAGTCGTGATGAAATTCGTCCCACGCCTATACGAAAACTGTTTCTTTCATCAGGCAAATGTGCAGTGGGATAGACTAAGCTTTTCGCTACAAGTGTTCGCTTTTTTTGCAGTGTCTAGGAAAAAAATTTTGAAATTTTATTTGAATTCGAGTGTACTCGCATACTAAAAATCATGATGCGATCGCGCGAACGGGAGCGAAGAATCGTAATTTGAAAAGTATTGAAATTGCTCGATCGGTCGAACTCAAGCACATGCTTGCATAGAAGACTCACGGAAAGAACATAGCTTAGAATTCAGTGCCTGCTGTGCTCCTATAGTTTTCAAATTTATTTTGAAGAAAAATGGTCATTGGCACTCGGTTATATTCGCAAATTTTTATTTTGCGCTTTCGAAAGAATAGTAATTGAGAAACGCAACGACTACGAAATGATAGCGCAAAGTCTCCTCTACATTGTTTGCATCGAAGTGTTCTAGAATATCCACTGTATCTTTAGCTACGTAATAAGATGTGAAGACTAAAAATTCCGATTTTCTCGTTCTGCAGAGCACTTGTTTGATAAGTCCAACTCCTACAAAATAATTTTTTTTTTATCCTAGCGTTCTTCCCTAGTACGGGGTCCGCTGCTCTTTATTTCATTTTTTTTATTCAATACGTTTAAGCTGTTCTTTATGAAAAACAATGAAGTATTCATGTTATAAACACACAACAAGAATCAGCGAATTAATTTGATCACTACTCTTTTACTCTTGTGAGTCTTCTCCATTCTTCGTAGTCTTTAGCTTGATGTTCATTTAAGTCAAGTTCGTTCAAGTCTGCATTAACTTTATCAATCCATCTTAGCTTCGGTCTTCCTCTGAGTCTTTTTCCGGGGACTTCCACAGACATTGCTAATCTAGCGACGTGATCATCTTCCTTTCTTCTTACATGTCCGTACCAACGAAGTCGCTTCTCCTGTATTTTCTTCACGATTGGCGCGACTTTCATTGTGGACCTTATGGTATCATTGGTGACATGATCCATCATAGTCACACCTGTCGTCCATCTCAGCATGCGAGTTTCCATCACGCTAACCCTTCGCTCTTCATTCCGCGTACAGGCCCAACATTCGCTGCCGTATAGAACAACCGGGCGGACTACAGTACGGTATAACTGGGATTTCAGCTTGATTGGCATCCTTTTATCGCATAGGATTCCGGTAATGTTCTTCCATTTCGACCAAGCTGAATTAATCCTGAAGGTGATCTCGTCCTGGAGCGTGCCATCTGCGGATATATGACTTCCCAGATACTTGTATGTGGTGGTCTTTTTAACTGGGATACTTCCGATCTGAATAGTCCCTGGCGTTTGAACTCCCAGCTCCATGTACTCTGTCTTTGTGATATTAATCTTCAGACCGTGCAGTTCTAGTTCACTCTTCCACTTTTGCACTTCCTCTTCCAATTCATTTCTGCTTCTTGCCATCAGCAACACGTCGTCTGCGTATATCAGAGCCCAAGGAGGGTTACGTATGAAGCTTCTCACTATCGTGTCCACGACCGTGATGAAGAGAAAGGGTGACAGCACGGAACCTTGGTGAACTCCAGCGTTTATTTGAAAGTCTTCTGAAGGACCTGCTGCTGTTTGCACGTAGCTAGTGGCGTTTTTGTATATCATTCTAATCCACTGCACGTATTCTTCTGGCACCATGTGCTTTCGTAACGACCACCATATAACGTCATGTGGCACCTTATCAAACGCTTTTTCCAAGTCGAGGAACGCTGCATGCAATTCGCATCGCCTTTCCCTACTTCTTTCCATCATTATCCTTACAGTGTGGATAGCATCTGTCGTGCTGTATCCCTTCACGAATCCGCACTGGTTAGGGGCCAGGTCCACGATGCTTCGCAGTCGCGTTTCCAAAATTCTTTCAAAGATCTTTAGTGTGTGGCACATGAGTCGGATAGGCCGATACGTCAAACAGTCAGCTACGTCGCCTTTGTTCTTCCATATAGGTACCGTTGTGCTTTTGTACCAGTCGCTTGGCATGTTTTTTGCATCTACAATCTGATTCAGAAGTTGCGTGAGCCAAGTCACTCCAGCTTGTCCACATTCCTTCCAAAATTCGTTGGGGACATTCTGGGCCTGTCGCCTTGCCGTTTTTTGTTTTCATTATGGCGAAGCGAACTTCCTCCTCTGTGATGCTGGGTACTGGTCCAAGCACAGGATCGGCTTCTAGAGTAAATGCGTACTCATGGCTCGCAGATGCCATTCCTTCGAAATGTGTTCTCCATCTTTCCTTAATTTCTTGTGGCTTCCTGAGTAGTTTGCCATGTACGTCCTTGATACTGTAAAAATGCTCTATATCTTTTGAGGCAGTTGTTCTTCTTTTCGCGATTCGATATATGTCCCGTTCGCCTTCGCGATTGCGCAGTTTCCTGTAAAGTTCTTCTACATACGCTTCTTTTGCCTCTTTAACACTCCTCTTTGCTGCGCGTTTCGTGTCCAAGTACAACTGATGAGCATCTTCCGTTTGTAATTTCTGCCAAATCCTGTATGCTGTTTTCTTTCTCTTTATCACGACCTGTACGTCTTCATTCCACCACCAGACTTCCTTATCAAGCTTTGGTCTTCCGGCTTTGGTATGACCCACTAGCTCGCTGGCTACCTGATGAATGTTGTTTTTCAGGACTGTCCAGGAGAATTCTGGACTACTTTCCAATCTCGGTAAGGCAGCTTTCATTGCCGCCTTGGTGCAGATATCATTCTTCAGCTTCCACCATTTTATACGTGTTCTATGCTCTGTCACCATTCTTCTTTTCTTGTCGATTGGAATAAACAAATCTAGCAGAAGGGGTCTATGCTGCGGAATGCAGTCTTCGCCAGGGATCACCTTGCTATCCTTCACGTATCTAAGATCGTCTTGTCGAACGCTCCAAAAGTCTATCTGCGATTTTTGACCTCCGCTGGCATACGTAATCAGATGATTATTTCTCTTTATGAAATAGGTATTCATTAACGCCAAGTCATGAGTAGTCGCAAACTCGAGAATGCGTTCGCCTCCATCATTGCGTGACCCGTAGCCGTGATCTCCATGACACTTTCCTGCACTACCTCGTCGTTCCCCTACATGGCCGTTGAGATCTGCTCCAATAAGTAGCATTTCTCCAAGTGGCACGGATTTGATGTAATCGTCAAACTCTCCCCAAAACACATCCTTCTCAACCTCACTGCAACCTGTTTGTGGTGCGTAAGCAGTGACTATTCGTAGGATACGCTTCCCATTTTCTATTCTGATGCTCATGAGTCGGTCACTTACTCGATCCACGTCAGTTATTCTGTTTCTTAACCTTTCACATACGATTATGCCGACTCCGTTCCTGCCGTTATTTGTACCTTTGTATAGGAGCTTGTATCCGTCTCCTATATCGCGTGATTTCTCTCCCTTCCATTTGGTTTCCTGAACGCAAGCTATATCTACCCTTCGTCTTCTGAGAAAATCCGCAATTTCTCGGCATCGTGCGGTAAGCGATCCAACATTGACGGTAGCCAGTCTGAGCATTTTCGGTGATTTGAATCGTTGCTTTTTATGATGAAGTAGCGATTCTAGTCGTCTTTTTTCATTTTGTTGAGGCGACAGATCTTCTTCAAAAATCGAATTCGTCAGTCTTGAGTGTGCGTCGCCCTTGAGGGACGCCCTACATGTAACTCCAAAGTTCTGTAGAGACATGAAAGAGCATACTGATGCGACGTTTGGTCTTCTTCAGCCGGCTTGTCGCTTGCTTCCTTTCGGATAGCAACCTGACACTGGAAACGACCACTCACGATGACCGCAAGTGACAATACAACTCCTACAAAATAATATGGCAAGCATTTTCAGCCAGCCAAAGTGTGATTTGTAGAGAATGATCGCAGCAATATGCGGTACAAATTTGGAGCCAAAATCATCAGTAGTTTCTTGATTTACAGCACTACAAAGTAGGCTCCCAGACTTTTGACCCACCTTGTATATATACCCTATTTTCCGGAGTATAAGGCGTATTTTCGTGCACCGCGCGCGAGCAGTTTTGCGACGACGCGGGCGATGTGCGACGCCGTAAGGGCAGCGGTACCAACTTTTTGTAACAGTTTTGTGCATTCGTTCTCTGTTAAATCTCGTAATCATGAGTTGAAAAACCAGTCTGTCTTCATCTTTAATTCATCGTATTCTGCAAACAAAGATTTTACACTTAAACACCCGTGCTGTATCATTTTGAGACTCAACCAGTAGCTG